CCTCCTTCTCTGGTTGTTCTGCTTATATGGATTTGTTGCATTCATTTAAATATCTTCTTATTAATATGACGGATGTAAGATATGCTGCTGCTGCTGCTCCTGCTGCTGCTGCTGCTGCTGCTGGTGCTGCTCCTGCTGCTGCTGGTGGTGCTGCTGCTGCTGGTGCTACACAGGGCGCGGGCACACCCCCCAGCCCCTCCACAGCAAGCAGCAGCGCCCGTGAGACACCACGACAGCAGCAGCAGCAGCAGCTGCAGCAGCAGCAGCAGCAGCAGCAGCAGGGGGAAGGAGCGGCAGTAGCATCTCCTGTGGGTGAGGGGTTTATGTTAGAGCCCGCTCCAACAGCAGCAGCAGCAGCAGCAGCAAAAGCAGCAGCAGCAGTAGCAGCAGCAGCAGCAGCAGGAGAGTTTCGTACAGGTACAGTAATAGATGCAGGTTTTAGGGGTCTACCTTACCCCCCTCTTCGTCTTTGTTTATCTATTTGTATTAGCGCTAGCTGCTGGCTGCGTGGTGATGAGCAGCACGTGCTGCTGCTGCAGTGTTTTAAGGGTCTAGGAAGATCAGTATGTGTAGCAGCAGCATTTCTAGCTTGGTCTGGATTTGCTGCTGATGTTGCTGCTGCTGCTGCAGCAATAGAGCATGCACTCGGCATACCACAGGGGGCGCTCCCGCTGCTGCCCAGCCAGCGGCGTTTCCTCGCGTTCTTTGAAAGTATTATGGGGCTGCAGCAGCAGCAACAGCAGCAGCAGCAGCAGCAGCAGGAGCAGCAGCAGGAGGAGGAGGAGCAGCAGCAGCAGCAAAAGCTGCAGCAGCAGCTCGTGCCTAGGAGACTCAGAAGAGTTATCTTCTGCGGCCTCCCCGCCATAGAAGAGGCCCCGCATGCATTCAGCCCCTGCAGCAGCAGCAGCGATGACTCTGCTGCTGCTGCAGATGAGGAAAACGCGCAGCAGCAGCAGCAGCAGCAGCAGGAGCAGCAGGAGCAGCAGCAGCAGCAGGCATTGTTGTTCCGCCCTGTGTTGGAGGTCTGGCTTGAGGGGGCCTTAGTTTATTCTTCGCTGCAGCAGTACATGCCTGCTGCTGCACCTGATTCAGCAGCAGAGGAATCTCAGCAGCAGCAGCAGCAGCAGCAGCAGCAGCAGCTGCTGCAGCAGCAGCTTGAGGCACAAGATATCTGCTGCTGCGTTGCTCAGCAGCTACCTGTATACACCCCAGATGAAGACAGCCTAAAATTTGAAATAGAGGGGGTGGATGTCTGCGGTGATTTGCTGCTGCNTACACCCCAGATGAAGACAGCCTAAAATTTGAAATAGAGGGGGTGGATGTCTGCGGTGATTTGCTGCTGCGGCTGCTGCACGTATCACCAGAGCAGCAGCAGCACTGCAGCAGCAGCAGCAGCAGCAGCAGCAGCAGCAGCAGGAGTAGATTCTGCTGCTGCAGCAAGAAGAATAAGAATAATAAAAGTGTATGGGGGAGAAAGATTTCTATGGCCCGTGCTGCCTTTCATACTGGAGCTGTCGATACACCCGGATATATAACATTCAGTAAAGAAGAGATAGATGGGGGCCCCATGCTAGCAGCAGCAGCAGCAGCAACAGAAGAAGGAGCAGCAACAGCATAAACAGGGTTCACCTGCTTCAGGGGC